ATGGGCCAGGCAGTTGGCCTTTCGGTTTCCTTACCCTTTTGCCGGCAGGTCTGGGATGGAGCCAGGCTGTGGGCCGAGGTGGCGCAGCTGGGACACCCTCAGTGTGTAAAGGGGCTGTGCCGTGAGGAGGGGCACCTGCTCGCTGTGATCCTGCCGACTGCCCCGCAGCCCTGGCAGCGAGGGGGCTGCCCCTGTGTCGCGCGCCCCCGCCCACCTGTGGCTGTCCTGGTGTCCTCACCGCAGCACCATGCCCAGTGTCAGGTCGGGCACAACCAGGGGAAGCACTTCCTAGCCTTGTGCCCCAAGCAGAGGACCCTCCACCCCGCCCCTCACCCACCCCCACTCCCCTTCCCCTGTGGAAGAAGCCCAGAGGCTCCCTCACCACGCAAGGAAGGGGAGGGGCTTCAGTGAGGCCACACGTGACCTGGAAAGGGACACGGGGGCAAAGTCAGATGCCAGGGCCCAGGTCCTCACGCCAGCAGCTGTCAGCTCCCGGGAAGCTGCACTTCTGGGGATGCACACAGTGAGATGGGGGGCGGGCGAACCCCACGCGGACCAGTGACAAGGAGGGGCCTGGGGGGAGGAGGCTGCTGTGCTCCAGGCTTAGGGGAGGAAGCCTTCTGCTGCGGGGGTGTGAGGGACTGCGCCCGTGCCCACGGAGGCCGTGCCTGGACCCCAATGTTCGGCACTCCCTCCCCAAGCCCTCTGTGGGACTCGCTCAGGGCCTCCCCCGTAAGCCCCTCACTTCTAGCACTGAGCCTTGAGTGTCAGCGCAGTGGGGGGTGGGGGGGCACGATGGAGTTGGCTCCTAGGCCCAGGCAGCCCCGGCCTGCGGGTCACACTGCAACCGCCCCCAGCACCCTGCCTTTGGTCAGCCCCAGTCCTTGAGCCCACCGGGGTGGCTGGGGCCCTGTGCCAGCTGTACTCCACCCAGTGTGAGACACCGGAAGAGGTGGCCGCAGGCCTGGGCTGACAGCTGTATCTTCTGGGTCCGCGTTGCTCCTCGGCCATTGACAGGGTGGTCCTCAGCCCAGAGGGCGGGAACTTCAGGGGCATGACTGGGGCCCCAGGTGAAGACACAGCCTGCAGCTGTCCCCTCATCGCAGGAGAAGCTCCCGGTGCTCCGAGGCGAGGCGTGAATCTCGCCTGCCTCTGGAGCTGGGCCTGGCAGAGACTCCAGCCACATTTGCCGGCGAACCTGAGTGGCCCCAGCAGCCCCACAGCAGAGCTGGCTGGGCCTGCTCCTGGCACATGTGGCAAAGAAGGAGCCCAGTTCCCAAGAGCTTTGGTTACCGGCCTGGCTTCTCCATCCGGAGTGTTCCATGCAGGCAGTGGGGCTCCAGTGGTCTGGGAGAGCAGCTGTCCCACCCGTCCCTTACTTAGAGGCTGAGCTTTAGACCTGAACACTTCAACGAGCAGAGGCTGCAGCAGGTCAGGGTGCTCCAGGGGACAGGGTGGCGGCTGAGAGAATGGGCTCAGGGTCAGACAAACCCAGGTTCGGGGCCTGGTTGTCCCGTTTGGATGAGGTCCTTCACACACCTGTGCTGCTGTTCCTCATCTGTGAAATGGGCATAAACACAGTACCTGCCCAATAGGCTGGGAAGGATTTAATGAAATAATCTGTGCAAATTCTGGTAATTTTTTTAAAAGATTGTATTTATTTTTATAGACAGGGGAAGGGAGGGAAAAAGAGAGGGTGAGAAACATTAATGTGTGGATGCCTCTTGTGTGCCCCCTACTGGGGACCCGGCCTACAACCCAGGCTCGTGCCCTGACTGGGAATCAAACTGGCGACCCTTTAGTTCGCAGCCCGGTGCTCAATCCACTGAGCCACACCAGCCAGGGCAAGTTCTGGTGACTTTTAAAATATTTGACAACTTCCTGGCTAGTGTAGCTCAGTGGACTGAGTGCAGGCCTGCGAACCAGAGGGTTGCCAGTTCTATTTCCAATCCAGGCACATGCTTGGGTGGCAGGCTGGGTCCCCAGTGGGAGGCACATGAGGAGCAACCACACATTGATGTTTCTCTCCTTCCCTTCCCTTCCCTCTAAAAAATAAATAAAACATTTAAAAAAATAAAATATTTTGACAACAAAAGTCAGGATCACTGACCAATCAGAACAGATTCGGTGGTCAACCACCAGCACTGCCCTACTGGCTGGGCAGCAGCCCTGACACCAGAGTAGGAGTAATTCAGTGGCTCAGAAGCTATTAATGTTACAGAAAGGCAAAGGGGGCCCAAGTCAGGAGATAGGTCAACACTCTGGGAACAATAACAAAAAGAACCTTCCAGAATGGGCGAGGGTGGGCCACCCGCGGAGAGTGAACTTTCAGAGACCACAGGGGTAGACATCTGCTCGGGAGGTGTGGCCCCGAGTCCCCTCAGGGAGCGAGGCTGGGACTGCAACGAAGAAGTCAGAGCTGTGCAGAGCGCGCAGGGCTTCGCGGCATGGAGAAAGGCTGAGTCCGGCAGGGAGGGCCCAGGGGCTGCAAACTGGGCCCCGAGACGGACATAGCCCCTGGGTTGGGGCGGGGGAGAGGTGCCTCTGCAGCACCCAGCCTCACTGTGGGCCAGGTGTCACCGTGGCCTGGACAGAGGGTGGCCTTGGTGACCTCCAGGCCTGTCTCGACTACCAGGCAGTCAGCCAGCCTGGGTGGATCCCCTCCGCTGGGGGATCCCACTGGGAATTCTACTGTGATGCCTCAGTCCTGTGTGACAGCGGCCTCGGGCAGTGCTGATGCAAGCGCGCTTTCCCTCTGCGTTTCCTTTTCTTCTACAAGTGAGTTTTTTGACCAGTGAAGTAGATCTTGGGGTACAGTATCCCCATTAAAGTGCCACCTCCCCCTGCCCCTGGCCCTGTGACAGATGGCCAGGAAATGGGAGGAAGGGGTAAAGGTTAAGGCAGACTTCTCAACAAACTTCATGTAACATGCTAGATGGGGTTTAAAAACTGAGCATAGCCCTGGCTGGTGTGGCTCAGGATTGAGTGCCGGCCTGCGAACTGAAAGGTTGGGGGTTCGATTCCCAGTCAAGGCACGTGCCTGGGTTGTGGACCAAGTCCCCAGTTGGGGGCTTGTGAGATGCAACCAATTGATGTATCTCTTGCATATTGATGTTTTTCTCCCTCTCTTTCTCCCTCCTGTCCCCTCTCTCTAAAAATAAATAAAATCTTAAATAAATAAATAGAAACTGAGTGTAGGACCAGGTCTTTGAGCATTAGCTCCCCTGTCTGGGCATGGGCCACTTCCTGGAAATAAACAGTTTGTTTGCTGGAAAAACAAAACAAAACAAACAAACCAATAAACCCCCCCCACACACACACACACAGCTGAGTGTAAACACATCTCCCGGATAAAAATCAATGTCCCAGAGTCCATCTTGAGCAAACGGAAGCATTTTTCTCTCAGTTCAAATCAGGTTCTCCAAGAACAACTAAAACAATGCAAAGGACGGTGATGTGATGGGTCGGATGAATGAGTTTCCAAGCAAAATGAAACAATGGAAGTTAAAAAAAAGAATACACAGCAGTGCGCGGCCTTCGCTCGCAGCAGTCAGGATCCCTCCTCCCTCCCCAGACTCAGGAAGCTCTTCACTCCTCCGCGCCAGCGTCCGCCTCCGCGGCCAGATTGCGTCTGCCTCCCAGCCAGAACGTGAGCGCCCGAGGCTTTTATCTGTCGGGCCCGCTGCACGCAGGAGAGTCCGCTAATGTCTGCTGAATTAATGGGTGACTGATCATAATAGCAAACATTTATGCCGCGTTTACTGAGTGCTAGGTGCTGTTCACAACCATCCACAATCCGTCAGACAGGAATCACTAGCCTCACTGTGCAGACGGGAAACCGAGGCCCAGAGAGGTCCGCTCCCCTGCCTGAGGTCTCCCACGACCAAGGGGAGAGATCTGGGCTCAGGACTGTTGGGCGTCAAAGCTGAGAGGGGGCCCCAGGCGGGTAGCTCGGTTGGTTAAAGAGTTGTCCTGAAACGCCAAGGTTGTGGGTTCGATCCCCGTCAGGGCACAAGAAGCAACCAGTCAATATATAAACAAGTGGAACAACAAATCAATGTTTCTCTCCCATCAATAAAAATAAAAAAAGAACCTCAAATAAAACAGAAAGCTGAGGCGGGAGAACCTCCAGGGTTTGCGTGGAGAAGGGTTTGCCTGGCTCGCCGCTGCCCCCTTGAAGGGAGGCGTGGCTTGTTAGCCGAAAATTCCATCTGCACCAGCCCCAGCGTGCACTTACACACGCCGTGCAGCGTGCCCACTCACAGCACACAATTCAACGGTCTCAGCGTGTTCACAGACAGTGCGACCGTCCCCACCACGGTCAGTCTTCGAGCATCTTCCTCACCCCAAAGAGAACTCAGTGCCCCTGGCTGTCACCCTCCGTCCCTGCACCCCGTTTCCCGCAGCCTTCAGCAGCCCCTGCTCACCCCGACCTACCTGAGCAGCCGTGGCAGGTCGGTCCGGGAGGCGCTGGGCCCACGGCTGCGCGTTGCCACCCTCTTCCAGCCCTTCGTAGCTAGGAGCCGTGACGGCGTGTCCGCCCCAGAAAAGGAGCCTGGAGCAAACTACTGCCCCGTCACCACCGAACTTGGCTCTGTCGCTGTTTACACCGAGGGCCAGGCCACCCTCTCAGAGACCCATGACCAGGGGCTGGCGACTCTCTCAGCTGCGGGACTCCAGGGTCTCGGCGATCCCTTTGGGACGCCCGGGTCGGCCCGGCGGCAGCGGGGTGGCTCTGGCTGTGGGTGGGTGGGTGCAGGCATAGCCAGCAAAGGGCAGCTCAGACCTCCCGGTCCGGCCGAGACCACCCAGGGCCCTACCCACTCGACTGGGCGCCCAGCGGTCCTTCCCCTTGTCGGGCGCCCGCCCGCGCCCCGCCCCCGGCAGCAGAACAGGACGGGCTCAGCGGGCGGGGCGGGGCCGGCTGGGCCCCGGCGGGGGCGCGGTGGGCGGGGCGGCGAGGGCAGGAAGGCACGCCCCCCCCCGCTGCGGCCCCGCCCCCGAGCATCCCGTGCGGACCGGGCCGAGCTGGCCGAGCTGGAGGGCGAGCGTCATGGCCGCTTCGAGACAACCCCAGGTCGGGGAGCTGCTGGCTGAGGCCCGGAGGGCCTTCCGGGAGGAGTTCGGGGCCGAGGCGGAGCTGGCGGTGTCGGCCCCCGGCCGCGTCAACCTCATCGGGGAGCACACGGACTACAACCAGGGCCTCGTGCTGCCCATGGTGAGGGTCTGGGAGGGGACCCGAACCTCTCTTCGGGCCCCGGCCGCCCCGCCGGAAGGGCAGGCCCGAAGGGCGCGGGGAGGGCCCTGGTCCCCGCGTGAACTATTGGGCGGGCCGCGCCGAACTTTCACTCCAGCCGAGTTTAGGGGTCGCGCACGTGGGGGCGCCCCTGGCTGGGGCACGTCTCCCGTAGGAAGGGAGGAAGCGGGAGCCTACGAGGAAGTAGTCTGGGAGGGGGTGTGCCGGCGCCTCTTCGCTCCAGCCCGCCCTCTGTGGACTGCCGATCCCTGCCAGCAACCTGGGAGTCACCTCAAAATGGGGGGCCCCCCGTGTTGCACAGGGAAGGAGGTGTTTCGGACTCTGGCCTCCACGAGGCTCTGCAGGTCCTGTGGGAGCTTGCCCTAGGCCTCCCGGCCCAGCCCGTTCAGTGCAGAGGGGGAAACAGGCCCTGCGAGGGGGGAGGGGAGGGGAGGGGAGGGGAGGGGAGGGATGGCAGGGATGGCTAGTGATCCAGTCAAGGCCACACAGCTTGTGCCTGGTGGGGACTCCGGCGGGACTCAGGCCTCCCGGCTCTCAGCCAGGGTTTGTTTCCACCCCACCACGCAGCTTGGGAATGAGGGGTACAGCACACCTGAGGCCACCTCACGATGGTGAGGCATCAGAGGCAGCTCCCCCCCCCACTCTGTTGTCCTTTTGAGCTCTCTCCCCTCTGTGCCCCACAGCTGGGAGCTCACGCTCAGGGCAGAGTCCAGTCCCGCACTGGGCTGCCGCCACCCTGGAGAGGTCAGGGGGCAGGGCCTAAGCCCCCAAGGCCAGCTCAGCCCTCAGGCTCTTCCCTGAGACACTCGTATGCTTTTCCCCCGCTGAGCCTAAAGGTCACCCTCCTGTCGGTCCTGGGCCCCGAGTGCCTGAGCCCTTCAGTGGTGGAGGGGCCTCACGTGCCCGTCAGCTGGTGGAAGCCGGGCCCGCGCCTCTCCTCTCCGCTCAGGCCCTGGAGCTGGTGACTGTGATGGTGGGCAGCCCCCGGGCGGACGGCCTCGTGTCCCTGCTCACCGCCTCCGAGGATGCTGACGAGCCCAGGCGGCTGCAGTTTCCCTTGCCCACGGCCCAGCGGTCCCTGGAGCCCGGGACCCCTCGATGGGCCAACTACGTCAAGGGCGTGATCCAACACTACCCAGGTACAGGGCAGTTCAGGCCGGTCCCAGGAGCACCGGCTCTCAGCCGTCACCCTCCGCTCACCTCGCCCACTGTGGGGTGGGCTGGTCGGGTGGAGCACCCCAGTGCGGAGACGAGGAACCGGACGCCCCGAGGGGGTCCGGAGCTCGCCCTGGGCCACCTGGTACATGCCTGGAGGAGCCGGGATTCAAACCCTAACCTCTTGGCCTCCAGATCCCTAAACCAGGGCATCTAGGAGGACTGTGGCCTGGGGGCCTCAGGGTGGAAGGAAGAGGGGCTGTGGGCCCCTTGGCCCAGCAGGTTGGTGGCCTTTGCCACATGAGACACATCCCTGGAAGCGGTCACCAGGCAGCTGCCTCCCTTCATACCAAATCATGTGCCCTTCCCGTGCCCACCCCCCAGGCAGCCCAACTTACCACGGCCATCGTTCCCCCTGCAGCTGCCCCCCTCCCTGGCTTCAGTGCGGTGGTGGTCAGCTCAGTGCCCCTGGGGGGTGGGCTGTCCAGCTCGGCAGCCCTGGAAGTGGCCACATACACGTTCCTGCAGCAGCTGTGCCCAGGTACCTCCTAGAACTCGGCTCCCAACCTGGCTTTCCTTCCCTGAGGTCCCTGTGTGGTCAGAGCTGCTTCTCTTGCTGTGGCCTTCAGAGGGGGGTGGGGGATCTCCCCGGAGCATCTTTGGAACTGCTCGACCCACCGCCCCTGGTGCCCGTGCCTGGGCCCCAGCCTCCTCACCTCACCCTGTGCCGCCGCAGACTCGGGGGCAATCGTTGCCCGGGCCCAGGTGTGTCAGCGGGCCGAGCACAGCTTTGCAGGGGTGCCCTGTGGCATCATGGACCAACTCATCGCTCTGCTGGCGCAGAAGGACCACGCACTGCTCATTGACTGCAGGTCAGGGGCTCCCCCTGCCCCCCTCACTTCCTGGTGGAGCTTGTGGGCGGAGCATGCCCACTCTGAGCCATGGCAGGCAGGCACTTGGCCTTGTCATCTCCCCGCTCCAACTCTACCCCAGGTCCCTGGAGACAAGCCTGGTGCCACTGTCGGACCCCAAGCTGGCTGTGCTCATCACCAACTCCAACGTGCGCCACTCCCTGGGCTCCAGCGAGTACCCGCTGCGGCGGCGCCAGTGTGAAGAAGTGGCCCGCGCCCTGGGCAAGGAGAGCCTTCGGGAGGTGCAGCCGGAGGAGCTGGAGGGTGAGAGCTCCGCCCCCTGGGCTCCGTCCTGGAGACAGCCGGGCACCCTGCGGGGCGGGGGCTGCCAGGGCCTCGTCTGCTGGGCTCCTGCTGTGCTCCGCCCACTCCCCCAAACACTGTTGTTAACCTAGGGCCCCAGCCTCAGCAGGGCTGCTTGAAATCTTAACATTGTTTCTCCCAAGATAAGAAGTGTAGACAAGTACAAAGAAAATCACACTAAGCTCTAAGGCCGCTGCCCAGAGACAGCTGCCACCCGCGTCCCTCCATGCTTCCTGCAGTGTCTTCCACTCCTGCACTTTCAGAGTCGTGCGCAATAGTGTCACCTGCCCCTTGGGAAAAACTTAACATTATTCTGTGCCATGAAAGGCTTTTTATTTTTTATTGTTATATTTTTTAAAAGATTTTATGTAGCCCTGGCTGGCGTAGCTCAGTGGATTGAGTGCGGGCTGCGAACCAAAGTGTCGCAGGTTCGATTCCCAGTCAGGCAGGGTACATGTCTGGGTTGCAGGCCATGACCCCCAGCAACCACACATTAATGTTTCTCTCTCTCTCTATTTCCCTCCCTTCCCTCTCTAAAAATAAATAAATAAAATCTTAAAAAAAAAGATTTTATGTGTTTATTTTTTTTTAGAGAGAGGGGAAGGGAGGGAGAAATAGAGGGAGAGAAATGTCAATGTGTGGTTGCCTCTCACACGCCCCCTACTGGGGACCTGGCCTGCAACCCAAGCATGTGCCCTGGCTGGGAATTGAACCAGCAACCCTTTGGTTCGCAGCCTGGTGCTCAATCCTCTGACCCCTGTCCCCACCTCCCCCCACCATCAGACTCCTCGTTGGTCTCTGTTTAAGGGCTCGGGGCCGGGTTCCTGGCGCCCACCTCTCCTAGGCTCAGCCCTCTGCTCAAGGTGCTCACTGAGTCCAGAAGCTCAGCCCTGTCCCTCCCCGGCTCCCAAACGTCTGTGGCACAGGCACATGGCATTAAGTAGCCAGGTGCCCTGCCCTGGCTGCTGTGGCTCACTGGATTGAGTGCTGGCCTGTGAACCAAAAGGTCACTAGTTCAATTCCCAGTCAGGGCACATGCCCATGTTGTGGGTTTGGTCCCTGCTCAGGGTGCATACCAGAGGCAACTGATCGATGTTTGTCTCTTTCTCTCTCCCTTCCCCTCTCTCCAATAAATAAAATCTTAAAAAAACAAACAAACAAACAAAAAAACCCCAAGGTGCCCTGGCTCAGGCATTAGTCGGAGGGGCAGCCTGCTGGTGGCTCCTGGGCCCTGGGCCTTGGGCTCTCCCCTTCCCCAGCTCTGGAGCCCCGCCTGCAGGGGCCCCAAGGCTGTGCCTGCGGAAATAGCAGGGTTTCTTCTCCCTCCTGCTCGGTCGCAGCCTCTTGAAGGCAGCACTGTGTCGTCCTGCTTGCCTGAGAGCACAGAGTCTGGGACTCGACCTGCTGGCTGTGGAGCGCCCACTGGGCCAGGCACCCTGCTGGGAGCTCCACATGGGCCATCGCCCAGGGTCCTCATGGTGCCCGGGGTGGGGGGTGCTGACTACAGCTGTGTCAGAGCCCAGTCTCCGAGGGAGGCTCCCCCAGCGCCCTGGAGCCGTGGCGCCCCGTCTCCCCACGCCTGCAGCTGACCGCTGACCCCTCTCCTCCCCCAGCCGGCAGTGAGCTGGTGAGCAAGGAGGGCTTCCGGCGGGCACGGCACGTCGTGGGGGAGATTAGGCGCACGGCCCAGGCAGCGGCTGCCCTCCACCGGGGCGACTACAGAGCCTTCGGCCGCCTCATGGTGGAGAGCCACCACTCCCTCAGGTGAGGCCCCCCCGTGGGCCCCCGGGCACAGGGCGTCCCCAGGGCTGGGGGGTGGGGGCTGGTCCCAAGCCCTCCCCTCCTGTCTGCTTGCTCTCTGCAGGGATGACTACGAGGTGAGCTGCCCTGAGCTGGATCAGCTGGTGGAGGCGGCACTGTCTGCACCTGGGGTTTATGGCAGCCGCATGACAGGTGGCGGCTTTGGTGGCTGCACGGTGACTTTGCTGGAGGCCTCCGCCGCTTCCCAAGCCATGCAGCACATACAGGTGGGTGGGTGGGTGCCAGAGCCGGGGGGTGGGTGGGGGGCGTGGCGAAGCAGGTTACCAGGGCCCTCAGAGCTCAGACCTGCCTGCCTCTCCCACAGGCTCAGTACAGCGGGACTGCCACCTTCTACCTCTCCCAGGCGGCCGGTGGTGCCCAGGTGCTGCACCCCTGAGGAGCCCCCCAGGGTGGTCCACGGCGGGCACCCCCAGGTGGCAAGCCAGGAAGCTCCGTGTCTCTGGCACCCGTCCTCCGTGTCTGGGCGTGCAATAAACTTGTGCCTTGGACCACAGTGCCCGCCTGCCTGCTGCTGGGTGTGTGCTCGGCCCCCAGAGCAGGGCGGGGTCAGAGCCGCTCCCCCGCCCCGGGCAGTCCCGGAAGAACGGACATGGTGAGGGCCAAGTGGTAGCAAAATCTTGTATTAAGTGCGGAACAAAGCAGGGTCCTTGTCATGCTGGCCCCAGCTCTGTGGTTACAGGCGTGCTTGGGAAGGGTGGACGGGCAGCCAGAGGTCCCCTCCGTGCCTCCCAGAGGACGTGTGCCCCCAAGAGGCGCTGGCTCCATGACTAGCATGCGGGTGGACGGGGCCACTAGGGGTCCAAGAACAGTGCAGCTGAGGCGAGGGGAGCAGGCAGTGGGGGCCCAGGCTCTGGACAGAGCCGGGCTGGGGTTGGGGAGCTCAGGTCTGGAAGAACTGCTGGTCCACCTGGCTGCTGAGGGTCCCGCTGGTGGTCAGCGTGCGGCTCACGAACTCCTGGGTCACGTGCCGGGTGAGGGAGCTAGCTGCTTCCAGGTGCTGGGACCCCAGGGTTAGTCCATCTGCAGGGGACAGGTGTTAAAGGACCTTGTGTGGGTCCCTGCCCTCTTCCTCTGGTAGCATTGTGCTCCCCCAGGGGAGCCAGGACCCCCACCCCACCCGGCTACTCACCCAGGAGGAAGGGCTCGGTGGTGTTGCTGTGGGTGGTGGTGATGCTGCTGTACTCGCCTGTCAGCGGGTGCTGGTAGAGCCCGGAGTGGCTGCCCAGCTGCGGGAAGGGGCCTAGACAGCAGAGGAGCCGGTCAGGGGGTGGTGGTGTGTGCGAAGGTGTGGCTAGAGAAAGCGGGGGGGGGGGGGGGGGCGGCGAAGGGGCAGGTGCCCTACCTCCATCCTGGGACTCAATGGTGATGATACCCTCACGCTCGGGCCCAAAGCCTTGGGTGGTCTTGGCCTGCACCTTGAACTTGTAGGGCACGTTCTCGCTGAGGCCCGGCACGGTCAGCCTGCTCTCAGGACTGTCGCCGTCCACCAGGAACGTGGTGGCGGGCTCTGGACAGGGAAGATGCTTTTAGCCCCTGTGGCTCCGCCCCCACCCTTCCCCCCGCCACCCCTGACCCTGGGGCGGGCGGCACCTCCTCCGTGGGCCATCTCGCAGGTCACCAGGTAGCCCAGGATGTCCCCGTCAGGCCTGCGCGGCCGCTCCCAGCTCAGCTGCAGGGAATCTGGGCTCAGGGCGGTGAACACCAGTGGGCCCGGGGCGCTGGGCGTGCTCAGCGTGAAGGCGGAGCCTGGGGGCAGCCGAGGGAGAGGGTCAGTGTGTGGGTGGTGTGGGTCGGCCGTGGGGGCGGGGTGGGGGGCAACTCACCTGGCAGGGGGCAGAGCGGGCTCTGAGGGTGCACCTGCGACTCGATGGTGATGACGCCCTCGCGCTCGGGGCCCCAGCCGCCCTGGCTCCGCGCCCTCACCCGGAACGCGTAGGAATGGTTGGGCAGCAGGTCCTCCACCACCACGGACGTCTGGCTGGGGCTGGGGATGGTGAGCTGGTGCAGCTCGCCTGCAGGGGGCGCATGGGGGCGTGGCTTTATTCCCGCTCCTGGCCTGGCCCTTCCCATGGCTTCCGCCGTACGCCTGGGCGCCACCCACCCAGGGCGGGCTGTGGTTTGGCGTCAGCCTAGTGAGGTACGGTTTCAGGCTGCGCACGGTGCACGGGATGAGTGGGGCCCGATGTCCCGCCGACGTTCTGACTGTGGATGGGCCCACATCCTGCCACTGAGCGTGTCTGCCCAGAGAAGTGCCACCTCCCAATTCCCGCAAAGGCATCTCCCAGGCCAGCAGAGGCCCTAGGTCCCGAGGCCAGTGAGGCTACATGGAGTATATATAACCCAGAGAGTCCGGAGGCGCGGATGAGGACTCCCAAGGGAGGGGGAGGGGGGGCTGGGCAGTGAGGTCCTCTCGGAAAGGCGAGGTAGGGGCATTCGTGTTCAAGGGGTTCCCGCCACAGCCAGGCACCCCTGCGGGTCCCAACGTGGGGCACGTCCCCATAGCCGGGGCCTCACCGCCGTTCAGCAGCTGATACTCCACGCTGTAGCCCTGCAGCGCCTGCTCACACTGCGGCTCCTGCCAGCTCACTTTCAGAGACGTGGGCCCCAGGGCCGAGAACACCAGGCGGGTGGGCGTGTTGGGCACACCAGCAGCCATGCGGGAGCCTGGAGACAGGAGGCCACAGTCAGCCTGGGTCAAGGGGTCCCTGGGAGGAGTCCTGGTTCAACCCCTGACCCCCCCCCCCACAACTGCGGCATCTATACTGCCGGTCAGGTGGCTCGCTCGCCCTGCAACAGCCTGTCCAGGCCACCCACACCTCCCACAGTCCTCAGGGTGCGGGCCCTGCCTGGGCCAAGAGTGGGCGAGCATCCTCTCGGCCAGGAGCCCACCCCTCAGCTGGCTTGCCCCCCCACCCCGGTCCCAGCCCAGCACCCCTTGGAAGGCAGAGGCTGTGAGGCATCAGCACGGATGTGGATGGAATGGAGGGGAAGGCAGTGTCGTGGGCAGTGACTGGAGTGGGCCATGGATGACGGATGGAGCAGGGCAGCTGGCAGGCGGGATGGCCACCCTGTACTACCTGGGCCCCAAGAGGGCGCTGCTGGCTGCCCAGCCAGGATTATAGAGTCTGGCGAGTCCCTGGAGGGGGGCACCCCCTTCCTCTGAGCCCGACTCCGGGACCCCAAAGTCCAGGACAGCGGAAGCCTGCTCCTCCCATCTTCACGGATGGGAGCGAGGCCTAGGGTGGGACAAGACAGGTGTGAGGGGGCGGGAAGTGGGTGTTTGCTGGAGGTCAGGCCGGAGGACGGCGGGCCAGCAGCGTGGCCCCCAGGAGCTGGAAGAGAGGAGGGGTCAGCAGGGCAGGCGGGGGTGGGGGTGGGGGCGGGCGCTCACTGGTTGAGGACAGGGACGTGAGGGTGGAGTAGTCCCTGGGCAGCGTGCCGGAGTGTTCCGTGCGGGTCAGCGAGTGGTAGTCCCTGGTGAGGGTGGAGGACGTGCTCAGCACCCGGTGAGACAGGTGCGGGCTCAGGTGGGTGCCATAGGCGGCGTTGGCCGTGGTCATCCTGTGCAGGGAGTTGGCGCTGCCCGGGAAGGCGAAGTCCATCCGCCCGTTTACCAGGTGATCTGCGGGGGAGGGCAGGGTCACTCGGACAGGCCAGCGCCAGATCTTGGGGCCCTGGGAATTCCGGGGTTACCTACCCTCTGGAGGCCTTGGCCTAAATACAACCAGCCTCCCTTGACCCACAGGGACAGAGGCCCGATGTCCCTGGAGGAGTGCAAGGGGACACAGGCTCTGCAACCCACACCCTCTGGCTAGGCACCGTCGGCCCTGCTTCCGGGAGAGCCCAAGCGCCTGTCCTGGGGGCGTCCTTTGGCTCCGGGGGTCGGCCCCCATGCCATCGCTCAGCCCCTGGTAGGGCAGGGGGCCTGGCTGGGCCGCCTGGCACCGGCGAGCACAGGCTGAGTCCCTGAGGCAGCAAACCGGTGAGCCTAGGTGGGTGCGGGGTGGGGCGTGCCGGGCAGGGCCGGTCACCTCCGTGGGGCCCCGGCGTGGCGCTGCGAGCCGAGCCGCCGCCCTCCGCCACCGCGGCCCCCGCGCCCCCTTCGGCGCCGTCTTCCGGGGGCCCGCGGGGCGGCTCGGCGGCGTCGGAGGAGCGCCCGCTGCTGGCCGACAGGCGCGGGATGAGCTCCGGGGGCAGCCGCCACGTGACGCGCCGCAGGTCCAGCTCCTCCCCGAGCAGGGGCTCGAACTTCCAGGTGGCGCCTTGGGAACAACGAAGGGCGCATTGGCACCGCCGGTGGGCGCGGGAGGCTGCGGGGGGATCCCGGCAGGGCGGGGGGCGGCGACGCCACCGCGACGTGAGCGGTCCTCCGGCTCTTTGGGATCCAGGTGGGGTGGAGGGGGTGCATTGCAGGGACCCAGAGCCGGGCGACAGGCGGGACCGTAGTCCGCGCGCGCGCGTGGAAGAGCTCTCCGGGTGGCAGCTGGCGAGGAAAAACCCCTGGACCAGCCCGAGACCAGGGTAGCACTGGCTTTGTCGCCAGCCGTGAGGGCTCCCTGCTCTGAGCCTCAGTTTCCTGTCTGTATGGGGGAGGGGACAGTGATCTACTCCTTGCTAGCCTCCCCCAGACAGTTCCAGAAGCCACAGTATTCACAGGTAGTGTCAGTAGCAGCTGAGCTGGGCCACCTGAGTCACACCAGCGCCCCCGAAACCTCTCAAGACCCCCAGGCTCAGGTTCCTCAAGGCCGAGCTCAGCCCCGTTAGGCCAAGTACCGGGGCCTGAGGCAGGGACCCGGATGAAAGAACGGACACATCCGAGAGGGTTTTCACCCCTGGCACCGTGTGACTGGTGACTCATTTTACAGATCAGAGAACTGAGGCTCGGGGAGGGTGAGTGACTCATCTGAACCCCCACACGGAGCCAGAAGCCGAAACTGCGGAGCCGGGAGTCCCCGCCGAGGGCTCTCTGCGGGTTCTCGGGGCAAGGCGCTGCTCGGGGGCGCCTGGGCCACGCCCCCTTCTCCCCCGGAGCCCCGTCCGGAGCGTCCTGCCTCCAGGACACAGCTGGCGAGCCTTTCCGAGGCCAGGCTGCGCCTCTAGGTGGCGCCATGGGCACGAGCCAGTGAGCGTCTGCCCCCCACCCCCACCCCCTGCACATGTGCATCTCCCCGCCCCTCTGCCTCAGGTGTGCGCACGGTTGTGCGTGTGCCGTGCCAGCTCTGTCCCCTCTGTGCCTGCCGTACTGTCAGCTCTGCCAATGCTCGTCTGGGCCTGGGAGAGCATTTTCAGTTTTGACATTCATGCCCAGTTAATGATCGCTGGACTCTGTCCTCTGGACACCGGTGACAGCCCCGCCCTCTACGCAGGACCCCCCCACCCCCCGCCACGGACTCTCCGGGGCCCCAGCCTTCTCACCGGTGTCGTCGGAGACGCTGGGCCTCTGGCTGCCGCCTGGCGAGCGTAGCACGTCGTCGCTGTACATGAGGAAGCTGTCATAGTCGCCCCCGCTCTGGGCGTCCACGATGGGGACGTCGGGGATGATGGGGACTGCGCGGGAGGGCGAGGGTCAGTCCCGGCCCCCGCCTCCGCCTCCGGTCCCCGCCACCGTCCCCTGCCCCGAGCCGCCCCGCCCACCACTCACTGGACATGGGCCGCTTGGGCTGGGTGGCCAGGTTGATGATGGCCTCCCGCTCGGGCCCCCAGCCCGCCCCGTTGCGCGCCTTCACGGTGTAGCGGTACGGCTGCGACTCCTTCAGGTTCTCGATGAGCAGCATCCGCTTCTTGGGGCTGTCCACCAGCACCTTCTTCATGGGCCCGATGGGTCCTGGGGCGGGGACAGCGCTTCAGAGGGGCGGCCCCGGCCCTGCCTCCGCCACAGCAGGACCCGGACGTCACACCCCGGGGCTCGGGGAGCAAGGCAGGGAGTGCGCAGCTGCCGAACTCCTCCCGCGGCGCTAGCGCCTGCCCCGCCCCGAGAACCTGGGCGTGGCCAGTTAGAGGAGCGTCTCCGACTCTCCAAAGGGCTCGTCACCGAGTGAAGCGGCCGAGTCAGGACTAGACTCGAGTTGGCCCGCTGTCACCTGAAAGTCTGAGATTCAGGGCGTCCTCTGTTTTTATTTGCTACATCTGCGGACTCTACTCTGGCCCCAAGAGAATGGTGTAAAAATGAGCCCCTCTGGTTGCCTCTGTGGGGGGGCACCCCTACCTGTGACCCCTACCCTCGTCTGTGTCCAATCTCAGGCCTTCCGTCCCCTCCAGCCCTGGGAGCTTCCGTCTGGGCCTGGCCTTGGAATGCAACCTGACCTCAACCTGACCGGGCACCTAATGATGCCTCGGACAAGAAGACGGAGGGGCTGGCCCACTGAGCTGGGCACTGTGGCCTCCCTCCCGACCTCTGCCGCCTCCTCTTCCGCGACTGCCACCCCCTGGGGGCAGGAGGCGGGGCCTGGGCCCTTACGGTTGTCCTCGTTGACCAGGCCGTAGCAGACCTCGTAGGCCGTGATCTCGCCGTTGGTCTCGGCGGGCTCCGCCCAGCTCAGCTGGGTCACAGTGGAGGATACCACGTTGAACGCCAGGCGCCCGGGCTCACTGGGTACTAGGGGACGGGGCAGGGCAGGGCAGGGAGAGAGCTGTCAGTGACAGAGAGAGGGCAGGGTTCTGGGGGGTGGGGGCAGGGCCCGGCACCCTCAGGGATGGGGGTGGCGGATGGCCACGGCGAGGCCTCACCTTCCTGGTGGGTGCGGCAGGACACCAGGGGGCTGTAGGGGCCCTCGCCCTGCGCCCCGTAGGCGCACACCTTCATCTCGTAGTCGCAGTACGGGTACAAGTTGGTGAGCTCCACTGAGGGCACCTTGCTGTCCAGCAGGTGGGCTTCGGCCTCTGAGTCACCCTGGATCCAGTACTTCACCTGCTCCCCCCCGGGGAGGGGCTGGTCAGTGGGGGACAGCGAGCGCCAGGGCCGCGTGTCCTTCCATTGACCTGCCCTGTTGTCCCCTTTGCACTGGTGAGGCAGCAAGGCTCTGGAGCGGTAATTAACTCAGAAGGGCTCCCTGGGCAAAGGTGGGCATTCCCTGCCCACTCGGGCTCCGCCGCTGGGGCCAGCGGTGCCCTCGGCTCTTCCCCAGGGTCCTCTGGCCTTGGGAAGCCACCTCCGCAGTGGTTGCTAGGCCTCAACATCCACCTCCCTCCTTGCCTGCCGCCTCCTGCCCCGGGGCCACCTTACCCTGTACCCAGTCGGTGTGCCAGAAGGGGGCAGCCAGTTGAAGTGGATCTTCCGGGACCCCGCAGCTTTGGCATTGGGGTTCTGTGGGGCACCCAGGTCACTGTGAGCGCCTGTGAGCCTTGACAGGGTCTGGCTCTTGAAGTTCTGCTCCAGGTCATCTGTAGTGGGGGAAGGTAGGGCGGGGTAGGCAGCTCAGACAACTTGTCTTGCGGGGAGGGGGGGGGCGGGGGGGCAGGAACCCACTCTCACCATCAGGGGGCACCAGAGGCCCAGTGAAACACCCACTGCAATCAACTGACACCTGCCTGGCCCAGCCTCTCCCTGCTGGCACCTCCAGGGTGCTGCAGGGGTGCCCTACCACACTTGGGGGAGAACCCCGGAGGGTCTCTGGAGGAGTGAGGAGGAGGAAGGAGGTCGTCTGCCCCCCCTTTGCCCCCTTGGCAGCAACAGTAATGTTCCAGATGTGAACATTTGCTCTTTCTCTCCCCACCCCACCCCCCTTCCAACCAAGAATTCCCCCGCCTCTCCCATTTTCTCACAAGCCTCCTCTGGGGGTGCGCTCACAGACTGGAGGCTAAAGACCCATCAGAACGAACCGTCTCACCCCTCCCCTGCTGGAAACAGCTGCGTTTTCACTGAAACCGAGCCGGCAGTCAAAGAGCTCAGTTGGCCTATGGTGGGGTCCACAGCGCCCCCAGCAGGCCGACTGGGCCACATGGCCCCAGCCTCTCTGGCTGAGAGCAGGAGTGCCAGATAAAATGCAGGACGCTTGAACAAATTGGAATTTCAAATAAACATCCCAAATATTGCATGAGCCGTATTTATGCTGCAGATCTTATCTGAGTGGGCCTTGAGCTGGGCATCCTTATTTTTACTCGCCAAGACCGTCAACCTTTGTCGAGAGGGCCCCAGCCTGGCCTCCCCCTCCCGCTTAAGCTGACCCCGGGCTCTGCCCACCTCGGTCCCCGATGATGACAGTGGCTGAGTGGGGCTGGCCCAGGCGGGCCCCAAACTTGGGGTTGCTGAGGTGGACGTGGAAGCGGCGGACCTGGTGGCCCCGCAGGAGGGAGTCCATCTCTTGCAGGTCCAGGAGCTTCACCTGGATCTCCTTCCAGGTCTCCCCGGGCTGGAACAGCAGCTCGCCCTCCGTGGGGACGTAGTCCTGGGAGAGGGCAGGGGTCAGGCCAGGCCGCATGCTCCACCCTGACCTCATGGACACCAGAGACCATCTCTTACAGACTGTGCCACGTGGGCACGAAATGGCTCAAGTTCATGGGGCACCTCCTCTGCGTCCCTTGACAGATAATACAGATGCAGTAGTGTGAGGTAGAGATATGATGGCCCCATTTTACAGATGAGGAACAGAGGCACCCAGAGGTGCAGAAGCATGCCCGAGTCCACACAGGTAGTCGCGGCGGAGGCGGGATTTGACCGGGGCATAGTGAGAGGGATGCACGGCAGACCCGGAGATCCCCAAGGAGGCAGGCTCTCGTTCTGGAGGAGCTAGGATTTTCAGGTCCTCCGCACTGTGGCTCTGAAATCTAGGACCCAGCTGGCCCCCAGGTCCTGCCTCCCAAGTGGGGTGCTTCCACCAGCTCCGACGTTCCACCTTCCATACCCCAGAACTTTCCTACGTGTCCCAACCCGCACACCGCAAAGCAATTGAAATCGGGGGAAGGGACAAGCCTCACACGTGACCACTAGGTGGCGCTCTAAACCAACATTTCAATTCCAAGCACAGCTAGTCAGGCCCACGGGGCACCCGCGGCAAATTCAAATGCTACAACCCTCCAGAACTTGATGCATCAAGTGCCAAAAAAGCAGGAGTCCACCTGCAAGACAACGGACGTGGGCCGCGAGAGGCGGCACTTCAAAGATGTCAAAATCACGAAAGACAAGGCTGGGGAATCGCTCTAAATCCAAGGAGCTTAAAGACACACGGCAGCAACGTGCACGCCGGGTCTTCGGCTCCCGGCCTGGGGGAGAGCAGGCCAGGGCGCACCGGGACGGGTGAATCCTGGGGGCTCGGAGCGCGGACGGACTCCCGGCACCAGTGTCCTGTGGGGTGTCTTCCTACGTCCGGTCATTATGTCGTGGTTTTGCAGAACGACCTTGTTCTTAGCAGGTGCCTGCAGAGTTGTTTGGGGTCTCCGTGAAGTCTACAGCTTTGGAGCATTCAACCAATAGAACCCAACAGACGACTTTCCCTCCCTGTGCGTCTGTAGTCATAGGACGGAGACATGGGACGGTGGCCACACCGGCATCTGGAGCACACCTGTGGGCCTGGGTCTCCACAGGGAGAGAGAGACCGAGAATGCTAAGGACCGGTGGGTCTGTGCAGAGGGCAAACAGGTGCTGGTTTTATTCGTTGGCCCGTTTTTCAGTAGGTTTGAAGTCTTTCAAAATAAAAAGTTGGGAAGTAATAAAAAGGTTTTTAAGAAATTGTTACATACCAAAGCATTTTTTAAATAAAAAACAGAACAGGGTCGCCAGAATCTCTTGTATATTATGGCCTGTTTTGAGAAATTTCTGGACATACAACTTCTCCTTTGGAATGTCTACTGGGGGCGTGCAGTCGGCGAGGAACACCGTTCCCACCAGCAAAAAGAAGGTTCGGGTGTGGCCGGGCTGCTGGGCGCTGGGCGTGCCCCTGGGTGCACACTCCCCTGCCTTTGCTGAGCACGCCTGTGGGCCCAGGACGGCTGGATTTTACTGCTTTGGGGCTTAATTTTTGATTGGAACATTTTTAGATTTTAAGTGGTGGTCATGAACTCAGGAAAACAAACCTTGTCAGCCAAACCAAGCACGTCCACCACCTGGACCTGGCTGCTCCCCCCGCTGACGCTGCCAACACTGGGGCCCAGCGAGCAAGGGGACGGGGGCCCACGCATGTCGCAGCCTGCCCTGAAAGGCCACTGTGGAGTCTGGGCCCCGGAAGGGCCCCCTGGGCAGTGACAGCCCTGGGGGGTGGGTCTGCCCAGGGACAGGAGGGCTGCGACCTCCCTTCCAGAAGCCCAAAGCCCATGGTCTGGGGCAGGTGGGGAGTCCATTTCTCTGCGAAGGGTTTGCTGGGAAGGGGACGCCAATGATCTGGACGTGTCCCTGGCCTCTGTCTCCGGCAGAGGGTCACCAGCACTTTTGGTGGGTCAGACGCCGCTGCTGCGAGGTGGCAGGAGCAGGCGGGCATGTCCGCGGGAGGCCAGCCAGGGCCCCCGCCCCCACCAGCACTCAGGGACCCAGGCAGCTGCCAGGCCCTGCCCCCACCGGGCCCTGCCCCCACCGGGCCCCTGGGACGGGCCCGAGACGCCGCGTGGGAGCCTCACCCGTTTGCCCTGCGCCGTGTTGTCCTGGGTGCGGTAGGTGACCTGGGACTTGCCGTTGTCCAGGATGCGCCGCACGATGGGGATGCGGGCCACGGGCTCCCCGCCGCTGACCAGGTACTCGGACTGCTCGAAGGACACGATCCCGGTGGCTGCCAGGGGCCCGGGAGCGTCAGGGTCGGGCCCTTCTCCGTCCCTTCCCAACTCCCGCCCTCCCCTGGCCCAGCCAGCCAAGCCCAGACCTCCTGAGTCTGCCTGTCGCCCCCGCCCCTGCCACGCTCTGGGGAGGACAGAGGAAGGGGGTGGAAACTTTTTCCAGAAGAAGTGGAGGGGGCCGGAAGGGTCAGGGCCGAGAAAGGCGGCCAGGTGGGGGCCCCACCAGAGGCCAGGGCGGGAAGAAGCCCAGTCCCTCCTCCCAGCTCCGGTGCCCCGGCGTCCTGGGCGGGCCCGCTGGGTTCCCTCAGCCGTAAGGGAGAGAACGGGGGAGGGGTGCGGGTTGGCAGCGGGAGGACCAGCACCCTGCGACTGTGATGGATGCTCTGTGAACGGCTGCCCAGCCGCACACCCCGTGTAAGAGCCTGCGGCCCATTTTACAGCTGGTGAGACCGAGGCTCACAGAGGTTAAGTGACCCGCTAAACCACACAGCCAGGCCTCCCTTCTACTCAAACCCAAGGGTCCCCAGGCCCCCCTTTTTGCCCCTGGCTCCCCGCTCCCTGACCGACCTTGCTCCTTGATGACGGTGATGTTTACCAGGCGGCGGCCGAGGGTGGCAGTACCCACGGGCACGTTGATGGCCTCCAGCATCAGCTGCTTCTGGTCGTCATCCTCGGGCCGGATGAAGAGGGGCACCCGGACATCCACCAGCTCCACGCCCTCCTGGAACTCCACCATGCCCCGGGCATCTGGGTGGGTGTTGGGGGGTGGTCAGACGTGGGGCGGGGGCCACCCCGGGGCGTGGAGGTGGCAGGGGGCCGCTGGGGGAGCCTGCCCACTCACCCTGGTCCGCAGTGAGGGTGTAGTAGCCGGGGGCCACCTTGAGCTCGTGGAAGGCCCCCTGGGCCACGTGCTTCTCCGTCAGCTTCAGCAGGGACTGCTTGGCGGAGCGGGGCGCCATCAGCACCGTGTCCACAATGGTGTGGTCCTGCCTGGGGGCGGGGCAGGCAGGAAGGTGTCGGCCTGGCACTGGTCCCTGCGCAGGCCCCCTGCCTGTCCTCTCCCCACCAAGGGACAAGATGCGGGGCAGCAAAAGAAGTTCAGGCTCTTCAGGACCCAACAGTCACGGGGGCACATGCTGGTCCCTCACTGCCCCCCGCCCCGGCTCACCCTGCAGCCTCCGCCAAGCCGCGGGGCCTCTGGGCCTCAGCGGCCTCATCTGTGAAATGGGGCTGCTCCCGCCCAGCAGGCGCAGGGCAGTGGAGATGCTCAGGATGTAGGCTCCAAAGCCTGGGTTCAAATCAGGGCCCTATCTCTTAATAGCGGAGTAACCTTGGGCACGTGACGTGACCTCTCTTAGCCTTGGTTGGCACGGGGCCACCCTGGTCCCTTTGGTTGCCTGTGGCCCGTCTGTGTGTACGGGGCTGGCTTGTAGCGAGGGCTTCCCATCGGGGTTTCTTGAATGAAGGGCCCAACCCCCAACAGACGCACACAGGGCCTCCCCTTCCTACGGGATGGAAACGGGGCGGGGCGTGGAGCCGGGGGCAGACGGGGCAGGGGGCTGGGGCTGTCCCACCGTGTCCTTGACTCACTTCTTCCCGGCGTTGGGCTGCTGCCTGTGGGGGACAAAGCAGGGGCCGTGAGCTGGAAGGTCCCTGGGGCAGTCCTGCCCCCCCTCCCCCGAGCCCTGGTCACCCGGGACCCACCGGAACTTGGTCTGCTGGAGCCTGTGCGAGCCGGGGATCTGTCTGTACACCTCGTTCAGCTGCCAGGCAAGGGGGCGGGGCTTGAGGCCGGGGCCCTGGGTGGGCCTCGCCCCGCAGCCACCCAGGCCCAGAGGACCTCTCAGCCTCACGTCCCCTTGAGGACACATTTAAGGGGACCCCAGGGTGACCCCACACTAGGAACACATCCAGGCTCCACAGCTGCTCCCCCGTGGCCACCCCTCCGACCCCCGTGCGTGCCCCGGCTCACGCCCCCGCCCCAGGGAGGCTGGCTGCCTTACGTTCTCCTCCACCTCCTGGCGCAGCTGGTCGCACTCCCGGGTTTCAGGCTTCAGCAGGTTCTCGGTGCAAAGGCGTGCGAGGCGCAGGGACAGCCCATAGGGCACTGGGGGGGGCGGGCAGGGATGCGGGTGGTCAGCCCCTTGCACGGCGGGTGCCACCACCACAGAAGCCACTCTGGGAGGGGGCCCCTGGGGGGCTGGGGGGCTGAGGCCTGTGGCTCCATCAGGAAGGGAGGAGGTGCCGGCCTGTGCCCGCGCCCAGCACCCGGAGGGAACAGAGACAGGGCGACCCCATGCCCGGGAACAGCAGGGGGCGTGCCCCAGGCGCCCGGGACGCCGCCCAGAGCCCCGCCCTCACCCAGCCCCGCCCTCACCCAGCTCCGTGGGGTTGGTGCTGGCCGTGTGGGTGGCGAAGCCAGGCCGCTGCACATTGTTGGTGACCTTCCAGCGGACCCTGTCCACCCCCTTGAAGTTCCCGCTGCGCAGCATGGGTGTGTCCAGGTGGTCCGAGGCCATCAGGTTTTCCCGCAGCAGGTAGTGGTCCTCCTTGAAGCCCACCATGTGACCTTCGGGACAGGGTTTTCCGCCTGAGGTCCCTCCCCAGGCCCTCACAGCCCTGCCCTTCAGTGCCACCCCCAGCCTCCCTCCTCCGTTCGAGGCTCTCCCTCACTCCCCCTCCCCCCCAGCTGGGGCACCGAGTGGTCGGAGCCCCACCGCCCCTCCCTGCTGGCACCGGGCCCATACCTCGGTTGCAGCAAGGGAGAAGCGCCAGGCAGGCCTAGGGGACAAGGGGTGGGTGGCGATGAGGACCGGGATAGCTGCCCAGCCCAGGTAAACCCCTGTAGCCGCCACTGCCACCCACAGCAATGGTCCTGAGGGGCCGCAGGGCCTCCCTCAGACACCAGGACACCCACACGGGTGCAGGAGCCTAGACGTGGGGCGCACAGGGGGGTGCAGAGGGTGATGGGGGTGGGGGGTTCCCAAGGCCTGTGCCACGGGACCCTGGCCGTGCCAGGTCCTCTGTGAAGGCTCTGGGGTCAAACCCACGTGGGAAGCACTGACCCACGCCCCACCGCCCGCTCAGGGTGTCCCCATGCACGCGAGGAGAGCGAAGGCTCTGAGCGCTGCTGCGGAACCCTGAGCCATCCCATGCACTTGACCTCAGAACAACCCTCTGTAACGCTGCACACTGACACCCCGCCACACCAGAGGTCCCTCCAGTGCTGCCGCCTCCTCCCCGCCCACAGTTCAGTGTCCCGGGTGGTGCCGCCCTCCAGGCCTGGCCGCCTCCTGTCTGCCCTCCCCAAGGACACTGTCGGCTCCCGGCGGGCAGGCCCTTCCTCCCCCGTGGGCCCCAAGCCCTTTGCCGGGGGCAGATCCCGGGGCAGGCACTCCCAGGCAGCCGGCTGCTCAGGGTTGGCAGAGGCGAGGGACTGGGGTGGGGAGGGCGCTAGAGCCGGGCAGAACATGCGGGTTCGCCTGGCCTCTGCCGCCTACGGGGGCCCTGAGGGGCTGGGGGCCCTGGTGGGGACCCTGGGGGAGCTGTCACCTTGCAGCAGGCACAGTACTTCCAGCACAGCAGCAGCAGCAGCGCCAGGAGCAGCAGGAGGAAGATGAGCAGGGGGATGAGCCACCAGAAGGAGCGGGGAGGGCAGTCTGAGGGGGGCGGGGAGAGAGGAAGGGGAGGAGGAGGGTGGTGCTCACACTCCTGGCCTGGGGTCTGGCGGCCCACGCGCCCCCTCCTGGGCTGCCCGCCACCGCCAGCAGCTCACCCTTCTTCTTGTGCACCAGGACGGTGCTGTTGGGCCCGGGGCTGCCGTCGCCCTCCACGGTGTAGCTGTAGTTGCAGTCGTCGTCCTCGTCCCGGAAGGAGCAGAACTCCACCACCTCCTCCGCTGCGGACGCAGGTGGTCAGCAGGTGGCCCGCCCCAGAGGCCCAGGCCCCCCCAAGGTGTCCCCTGCTCTGGGGCCCACCCCGTCCACCCCAGCGCAGGCGGCCAGTCCTCTGGCACAGCCCTGGGGCCTTGCCCTGACCGGGAGCACCCGAGCCCGCAAATCGGGGCCCCTGCCTCCTCGACTCAGGTTTCGAGGCCCCTGCCCAGCCAGCGCTACACTCCTGCCCGGATCAGCGGCACCCCCGACCCCGTGGAAGGTCCCTGGACCCTCAGCCCCGCCCCTTACCTCTCTTAAGCTCGTCCACCATCTTGACCTTGAAGCGGCAGTCCTCGCACGAGCGCCCCTTCTTCTCGCCCGTGCCCCAGGCCTGGCACTGCACGCAGGAGCGCAGGTCCTCGCAGAGCCCCAGCCGCACCTGGTGGGAGAGGGGGGCCGGCGGGCCCTGTGCTGGGCAGGCCTCTGCCAGGCCCACCGCCCCGGCCTCACGCCCCTGGCCCGCTCCCGCCCACCCCGCCCTGTGCCCGGTCCCCGCGCCCACGCCCCTGTGACCCTGGCCTCACCGCCGAGTAGTTGATCTCGCAGATGCTGTCTGTGTAGAGGGACTGCTGGTTGCAGTGGCAGCGGCCACACTCGCAGTGGCCGCGCCCGTTACAGATGCCCTGTAGGAGGCGCCAGTGAGCCAGCCGTATCCCCACCCCTCCCCGCCCGACAGGATGGGTGGTCCTGCCCTGGGGGTCCCTCTGCCACCCCACACTGCCTGCCTCACGCCCAGGCCTACCCCGTTGCTGTCGATGCAGGTGGCATTGCTGAGGGGACAGTCGCAGCTTGGGCCCGTCCAGCCCGGCTCACACACACACTGGCCCATGGAGCAGCGTCCCCGGTCTGCAGGGAGGAGGGGAGGGGGAGCAGGGCCCGCTCACACCTGCAGTCCCGGCTGCCCACCTGCCCTCGAGGACAGGGCCTGTGGGAGCCGAACCTCGAGAGCAAGGAGGTCCCCCCCAGGGGCAAAGCCTCCCTTCCTCACTCTCCTGGAGTCACGTGTCCTTTGCCCTCCCCCTCCGCCCCACCTCCTACTTCACACTCTGCAGCCAGAGTGGCCGTCCCAAAACACAAACCCAATTAATTGTGTGACTCCCCTGCTTAAGAACCACTAATGAGTCTTGGCCAATGCAACAAGGTAAGAAAAAGAAATGAAACACAGAGGACTGGAAAGTAGAAACAAAACTGTCATTACTTGCAAGTGTCTGGAGCATGTCATAAAATAGCAAGAAGAACGTACAGATAAATGATTAGATTTCATGAGTTTACAGCGTGTCTGGATACAAGGTCAACATGCAGAGAGCTAGAAAATGAAACCAAAACCTGGAACGACTCTCTTTTGCCCAAAGGATAAAGTCCAGTATCCTCAGACTGGAAGAACGGTTGATTGACTATGGCCTACAAGCCAGTCCGCCCCAGTAACTGTGTTTGCAAATGGTTTATCGGAACACAGCCACACTCATCTGACTTATTGTCCATAGTTGCTGTCTATTTTTTTCTCCACCCACCCCACTTCCTTTTTTTAAGACGGCATTTCTTTTTAGAGAGGGGGGAAGGGAGGCAGAGAAAGAGAGGGAGAGAAACAACGAAGTGAGAGAGATACATCCATCTGTTGCCTCTCTCATGCCCCCTACTGGGGACCTGGCCCACAGCCCGGGCATGTGCCCTGACTGGGAATCGAACTTGCGACCTTTCCGTGCGCAGGCTGGCCCTCAATCCACTGAGCCACGCCAGCCAGGGCCTAGCTGCTTTCTGTTACAACGGCAGAGCCGAGTCATTTCGACAGAGACCATACGGCTCACAAAGCTGAAGAACATTTGTCTTCTGGTCCTTGGAGGAAGCGTTGGGACTAGACATGGAGCCGCCTTGGACCGGAAGCCAAACGCCTGCACTCTGGCCTTGCCTCCTTCCCCCCGGCACTGTCTGCCCCCCTCCTGCCTCCCAGCTCCGCCTTTCCCCGGCGTCCGGGGTCCCCTCCTGTGTCTCTGAGCACGCTCCGGACGGGCGGAGCAAGAACGGACGGGAGGGGAGACACGCAGGGGCTTGGCAGCTGGCAGGTGCACATCTGGGGGCCAGTAAGTGTTCAGTGAGCTGGGTGTTCACTCATCCTCCCCCATTCAACCACTCAGTCCTCCCACGCGGCACCTGCCTGGGTTCTGCGACCCCACCCAGCTCCGAAGCTTTGGCCAGACGATGCGCCCGTGGCCTTGGCCACACCACATTAGGCCCGTGGGGCCGTAGAGGATGCGCACCTCCAGGCACACCTGCTGGCAACGCACCATCTTCCGAGAGAGGAAAAGGCGGCCGTGGCGCACGCCAGCAACCGCCACGGCTGAGCCGGGCGGTGCCCGCCGTGATGAGGTCGGGGAGCGGATAGAGGAGGTGGGTGCAGACGGGAGGACCCCAAGGAAGTCAGGGTCTCACACACCAGGGGGATGTTGCACTGGCCTTGGGCATGAAGTTTGTACAAGGGGGAGAGAGGTCTAGCGCTCAGGGAGTCTGGGGAACGGCTGGGCCAGAGCTGGGGCGTTCTGACTCCCAGCCTGGGTCGGGATGGGAGACCGACCGGCGGGCGGGGCCGGGGCTGGGCCGCCAGGCGGCTGAGCTCACCGTTGCAGAGGACCCCGGAGGTGCGGGGGCACTGGAAGTTGTCGTACTCGCAGAACTGGCCCTCGTAGCGGCCGTCCCCGTAGCACACGCAGCGCCCGCACTGGCACTCGCCTCGGCCGGAGCACGGCTTGTCCTCCCCGTCCCGCAGGCAGGGGACGGTGTCGCTCTGGGAGCCCGTGGAGCAGCTGCAGGTCTTGCCGCTCCTGGGGGTGGGGCCTGTCAGTTCCCCCCAGCCGGGGCCAAGGCTCCCACCGTCTACGCCGGGTGAGCCAGCCCAGGCCCCCCGGAGGGCCGCAGTGGGGGTCCCAGTCACGCCAGCCGGCCGACCAACAACTGTGGCGGAGCCGACTCAAACCTCAGCCCTGGACCCCACCCCCGACCCCTTCCTCATGAGAGACTCGTTCAGTGACTTAAAGCTTTCAAAGGCCCACTGCCCTTTATTTATGAGCTCATTTCTGACGAGGTGACGTGTGCACACGGCTCAGAAGACTGAAGACACAAAAGCCACAGAGAGAAAAGCCAGTCTCCTCCGCTGCCCGTCCCCTGACACCCAGCCCCCACGCCCTGCCGGCCCCCGTGGTTCTGGTGCTTGTGTGTCTCTCTGGATACATCCTCGCTCTGTCTGTGCGTTTCCCAGTGCTTTGGACTGGACCCACCCACCCCCTGGGCGTGCCCCTCTCCCAGTCAGGCGCCTGTGGGGACCCCACGGGCATCTGGGGCGCCCCGCACTCACCAGCCCTCGTAGCACACACAGTGCCCGCACATGAAGTCCCCGTGGCCGCTGCAGTAAGGTGACTGCACCTCTTTTTGCTAGAACGAGAACGTGCAGGTAGGGTGTGTGGGTGGGGGAGGCACGGCCCCCCGGATGCGCCTGCTGCCTGCGCCCCTCAGGGCCCCCCCCCCCCGGTCAGGGCACCCCCCAGAAGGAGATGTGGCCGCAGGAGGCTCTGTGAGCTTCACAAGTCGGGGCTGGGGGCGGTGGGCCCAGCTCCTCCCTCCCGCCCCGGGGGCCGCGGCCTGCGCACCAGCTCGCAGGAGCACACATCACAGATGATCTCTGCGTCCATCCTGAGGCCGTCGGAGAAGGAAGGCTTCACGTGGATGTGGCCCCTCTTGTCATTCTCCGGCAGCTGGCACACATGCATCCCGTTCACGTCCTCGATGGCCCGCAGCTGGACTTGGTAGGTGCCCTGCAGGGACCCTGCTGTCAGCCGAGGCAGGCCCGGCCCGGCCAGGCACGGTGGGGGGCCGGGCAGCTGTGCCTGAGACGCCCAGCTCCCTGCCCGCCCGCCCTCGGGGCCGACAGCGGGCTCCTTCAGGGCACAGTCACCGAGCATCAGCAGTGACAGCGCCTGTCCCCCCGCCCCGGGTACCACCCCCCCGGGAAACACACCACTTCTCCTCGCTGGATGTGGAAGGACCCAGACTTCGTCTTCGGGATCCTGCTGGTGATCTCGGCCCGCAGGCCGCGGGGGATGTCCAGGACCCGGATGTCCAGGTTGGAGCGGATGTTCTAAAGGGGGGCCAGGGATCAGTGAGTGGTCTGGGGGCGCCTGGGCTCGCCCACTGGAGCCTGGCTCTGCTCCACCCCCACTTGCACGGGGGGACAGGGGTGGGGGGGGCGAGGTGGCAGAGCCCTCGGTGGGCTCCCCAGGGCCCTTCCTTGCCGGCCTTTCCTATTTCTCAGCCCAGACCAGAGACACCCTTTGCCCATTCGGCCTCCTCCCATCCCCGCCCGGGGAGGACTCGGGTTCGAGCCGGCGCGGCCGCTCACGTCGAAGGCCTTCCGCAGCAGCTCCACGATGTTGGACGAGTCCTCCTGCAGCACGCCCAGCGAGGACACGGGGAAATACGTGTGCAGCTTCTGCAGGGGAGAGCGCGGGACCGGGGGCTCAGCCGCGACGAGGACCATCTCACCGAATCCAGGCCACGGTTTTACCCCGTCCCACCAGATGGGGGCGCCGAGGCCTGGGGCCTGCTGGCGTATTCCAGAGTCTGCCCTCTTAGCCCCCACCTGCCTGGGACCTGGGTCAGGGGGATGGGCCCACACCCTCCCTGTCCCATCAGGGCACCTCCTGGAGGTGCTGCCAGTCTGGGGGAGGGAGGGAGTGAGGGGTGAAGGGCTTGGCGGGGAGGGTGGACGCCCACTTGCCCGCTGAGGCCCCAGGCCACCCCCCCACGCACCTCGTAGTAGCTGTAGGAGTAGTTGGTGACGGCGAAGATGGGGATGATGTTGTGCTTGCCCAGCAGGCGCACCAGGGTGGGCACGGAGGGGTAGTCCTGCGTCTTGTACTGGGTGTAGGTGCCCGTGGCGTCCAGGTGGCACTCCTCGTCATTCCGCCTCAGGATGCCGGCCAGCACGTTGGCACCGTCGGCCTCGTAGTGGAAGGCCGACTCGGTGGAGAACACCAGCAGGTGGGTGCTGTCCGGGCGCCAGCCGATGTCCCTCTGGGGAGAGCAAGGAAGGGGGTGCCCATGGAGCAGGCTGCCTGCCGGGGACCTTCGCTGCAGAGTCACGCGTGGCAGAGGCCACCGGCATGACGACGTGGGAAACAGAAACCAGTGACAGGGGCCGGGAAGCGGGCACAGGTCTGCGCACCCGGTGGGCGCCGCGCACGGCCTGAACCAGGCTCCTCCGGCTGACCCCCAGGGTCTCAGCCGCCCTGGGAAATGTTTCAGCTGCGTAGGAAAATGTCCCCGTGCAACGTTAAATAATGAAAAAAGGCCAGTTAAAATGGGTACAGCAGGGGCTGGTGCGGCTCAGTAGACTGAGCATCAGCCTGTGTGAACCAGAGGGTTGCCGGTTCGATCCCCAGTCAGGACACATGCCTGGGTTGCAGGCCAGGTCCCCTGGTGGGGGTGTGTGAGAGGCAACCACACATTGATGTTTCTCTCCCTCTTTCTCCCTCCTTTCCCTTTTCTCTAAAAATAAATACATAACACCTTTAAAAAATGGGCACAGCAGCATGTGGCACCTTGTTAGATAATGTGACAGTGACAACTAGATGACAAAAGAGAAAATGCATCGAGTGGGGAAAAAAAAAGAGCAAGTTTCCGTTAGAAGTGCACTGATTCCAGCCCCATAAAACAAGGCGGAGGGGCCCAACTATGCTGGCGGGATCTCAGCAGCTGCCTGTCTGCCCGTGGGAGGTCAGGGGAACTTTCTGTTCTTTGTTTTTCAAACTGTCTATTACACGGGCATGTTATTTTCAAAGTGAAAAAAAAAAAAAACGCCCCCGACGTGCACATGAAACCAAGCGCCTTCCTCAGCGGCCCACCCAAGTCGAAGGCTGGCGTTAGCGAGGAGATTGGGTCGGGGGAGGCTGGCCTCGGGTCATGGAAGATTCCCGAGCCCCGAGACTCCTGTCGGCCTCGCTGGCCAGTGCAAAAGCAGGCTGTGCCAGCTCGGGCTGAGGGGCCGTGGCTCCCGGCACCTCTAAACCTGGACGGGAACTGAGGGGGGTCCGCCTGGCCGCGGAGCAGGCCCGTGCGCCCGCAGAGAAGCGCAGCCCGAGTCCGGGCCGGCAGGGCAGGGCAGAGCAGGACCCCCCGCGGCACTCACTCACCGTGCACACGGCCGTCTGCAGCATGGCGTCAAAACCGCCTTCGGGGGCGTCCAGGTTGCCTGAGATCCGCTCTCCCTGCAGCTTATTCCGGAACTCATCCACGTCTTGGGTCAGCCTGATGACGTTCTTGAAGGAGAAGGGGGGGTCGCTGTTGGGCCAGGGCTCCTTCAGCCTGGGTGGAGGCGGGAGAGGCGCAGAGAGTTAGGGAAAGGAGGCCCCCCCGCATTCTCCTGTGCCCACCTTCTCTGGGAAGCCGCCCCCTTGGCTCCTCTCAGATGGAAAGGCGTGGAGCCCCCTGCTGGGTGGAGAGGAGGGCGGAGGGCGCTCGGCCAGGACCCCCGCCCCCGAGGTCACTCACTTCTCCGGCCTCATGTCCGTCTGGGGGACGCTGACTTTGTCCACAAACTTGCCGAAGCCGATCGTGTAGTCTCTGGTGAGGCTCCGCAGGACCTCGGCTGGGCGTCAACGGGAAAAGAGGGTGGCTGAGCCCCGGCCCCCTGCCCCGACACGGGGGGGCGGGGCCAGGGCTGCTGGGGAAGAAGAGGGAGAACGACTTCCGGGGACACCCTGCACGCTCCCAATAGCCCTCGTCCCCATGCACAGGTGAGGGCGATGGGACTCAGGGGACCTGGGTCCTGCATGGAGCACGTTGCAGGAGGTGGCCTTCTCTGAAGCCCCACACCCCGAGGATGCTCTCCTGAGAATGTGGGGCGCTCTGGGGACGGTCCCCATGTCCCGTCCCTCCTTGTGGGGTGGGGGCAGCGGTCCTGAGCCCCGGCCTCCTGAGCAGGCGTGCGGCCAGCTGGATGAGCCCCCCCCACCCCCGCCTCGCCCCTGCGTCCCCGCACCCTCCGCGCCGGCCCCGGCGTACCCAGGCGCTCGCCCATCTGCTTGAGGTTGTTCAGATCGTCCGACATGGAGTTGGAGAAGTCCATGAGGATGTACAGGTCCACGGGGCTCTCCAGCGGCTCGAACACCTGCAGCTCGAAGTGCTGCTCCTCGCCCGGCCGCAGGCGGACCCGCAGCGCCTGGGGCGACACCTGGCTGCGGTGCAGGGTGGTGTCGATCTCCGTCTCCTGCAGCCGGGGGAGGGGGACAGCTGGCTGGAGGGTCGCTCCAGAGGGGAGACCCCCCTACACAGCCAGCCCCGAGCACGGAGGCCCCAGCCCCCTCGACAGCCGCGCCGGGCACCTCGGTGATCTCGAAGCTGCTCTCCATGACCACCACGCTCTCCAGCCGGCAGCCCGCGGCCAGCAGCTCGGCCTGGGTGTTGCAGCGCCGTTCAAGGAATGTCTGGTAGGCAAAAGATAGGGTCAGGGGGTGCCGCGCCTGTCCCCAGGCTGTCCCGGCCCTGGCTTTGTTTCCCCTGAGTTTCCTGACCCTTGCCCCTCCTCCCTGACCCGCCGGGCCAGAGGCTGGGCTGAGCACGGGGGGCTCCAGCCGGGCCGGCGGGCAGCGGCTCACCTCGTCAGTGCAGTAGGCGCAGTCCTTGGCCACACGGATGCACTCGGTGCAGCTCTTCACCTGGGCCTTCTTGCAGCGGTTGGCTGGGCGGGGGGGAACGGGCAGGCCGCTGAGCCGGGCCTCGCCGACTCCAGCCCCGGCCCCACCTGCAGCCGCGCTTGGGAGGCGGGCGTCCCTCCCCAGTGCGCGGGGGAGGCCAGGGAGGCTAGCCGGGGAGCTGTGGTCTGCCTAGGCAGCACAGCTGGGAACGGGCAGCCCAGGGGGCTCCAGCCGGGAACTTTCCACTCGAGTCCAGGGGGAAGGGTGGCAGGGGCTGAAACAGAGGTGCTGGCCCATGTGCTGGTGGGGACACCCTGGCCATCTCCCTCACCCACTCCTCCAGGACAAAGGGGACTGTGTCTGTCTCCTTATTGCTGTGTCCCCACTGCCTGGCCCAAGGCCTGGCACACAGTAGGTCGTTGGTAAATGACTAAGGCAAAACTCCTGGGATTCCCTTCGGTTCTATTCAGTTAAGAGCACAGGAAGGGTCTGCTGTGTGTATCCTGTGCGCACCACGGGTGTCTCCCGGGCCCCAGGCAAAGGTGCGCTGTCAATGTTTAACGACGGCTCAGGTGCCCTGGCCGGTGTGGCTCGGTGGACTGAGCCGGCCTGCGAACCGAACGGTATGGTTGGGTCCCCAGTAGGGGGCGCACGAGAGGCAGCCACGCATGGATGCTTCTCTCCCTCCTTTTCCCTCTCTCTGAAAGCAAATAAAAAAAAACAGCAGTGGATCTGGGAGGCACAGAAGCCCCGACCCGCAGCACTGCCAGCCTCAGAGACGTGCGCACGGCCCCCTGGCTCAGGTCACCTTACCAGTGCGGCTTCCCCCCAGGCCCACTCCGTGGCCGGGGGCAGGCTCCAGCCGCCAGCCGGGTGCTGGCTCTCGGAGAGCAGGTGATGAGTCACCCGTCCCTCCTCGGAACTCGAGGCCTAGGCACATCCCACGAGGGCCTCCACCCTCCCAGGGGGCATCTCCTCTCTCTTCCAGGCCGAGTCTCCCCCACCCCTCGTGCTCCCGAGCTACGTGGCTCATGCTCACCGCGCCCCAGCCCCCGCCGTGTGCGACGGTTGGCTTGTGGAATGGCTGAGGGAGTGTCTGGGCGAGAAACCCCGTGAGAGGCCTCTCTCGAGGGCAGCGCCCACCAAGAGGGGTGCAGCGGGGGGTGTGGACTCACCCATGTCCCCGGAGAAGCTGGCGATAAGCACGGCTGCCAGCAGCAGCCTGGCCCAGGGGCTGGCGCTCGGCCCCGCCATCCTCTTCCTCCTGCACGACAGCAGCAGTTAGCACACAGGGCCCTCCCTGGGCCCCTTTGGGCGCTCGGCGGGGAGGGAGGGGCTGCTGTTCCCACGCACGGGTGTGCACCCGGAGGCGCCGAGAGCTGCAGTGCTGTCCCAGGGCCCGGGGTCCCTGCCCCATCCCTGCAGTGGCTAGATGCCCTGCAGGTCTGCCTGCTGCCCAGGGAGGCCCCCGCCCTCTGGCCTGGGGGGACTCTGGGCTCCGAGCTTGCCCAGCACCAGGCGTCTGGGCTGGGCCCCTGAGCCTTTCAGGTCTCGGTGGGCGGGCAGGAGTCGGGGGTGGGGTCTCTCTAGGGGGCTTGGCTCTACCTCGCTGCCCCCTCTCTGTCCTAGCCCGCTTACCCTCTGTGGGGGGCAGTGCAGCCCGGAGGAGAGGGGCCCCTCCCACAGGGGTGCGGCTCCCTGCCTTGCACCCACCTTTGCCTGCCCCACACTTGTGTTTGCAAGGCCCCCGAACCATTCATCCTTTCAAGTCAGCCCAAAGCCAGCCTGCACGCCGACCTGCACTCCCCTACCCTTCACACACACACACACACACACACACACACACACACAGGCCCTGTGCCTGCTACCCTGGAGCCCTTCTCAACTCAACAGCGGCCTGCAGGGCCGGCACTGGCCCCCGAGGCCTTTTAGGAGATGGGCAGTCTGCTCCCTCAGAAAGACAACGGCTGGCCTGCAGAGCCTGGCCCCCAGCCCCCCGGTGATGTAAGACCACGCCATGCCCACGGCCCCCCCACTCCCTGGACCCTTCCCCAGTCCCGGGCTTGTGGGGCAGGAGCAGGCTCTGGAGGGCGGAGGCCCCCGCGGTGCTGGGAAGGCCGTGGAGGGGGCGGGAAGGCATTGCCTCTCTCCCCTCACGGTGTGTGCAGCCCCCAGGGGGCCGCCGGCTGCCCCGGCACCTCCCAGGCAGAGCCGGCTGGGGTGAGGGAGCCCGGGGTGGCCGAAGCAGGGCTCCTGGGGCGGGGGTGGGGAGACTTTCCTGCAGCCGCGGGGCACAGGCGCCCCACCCACACACCCCACAACTCGGGCTGCGGACTCAGGCCTCCCCGGGGCACCGTTACGTGTGCAGGTTCCGGCACTGGAGGCCCCGAGGGCTCTTTCTGAGTCACCCTGCCGTGCCCATGGGCCGGGCACACAGCGGGCAGCAGGCCGGCACTTCCTGTACCTGGCGGCCTTCTAATCCGCCCAGGGCCCCGGTGGGGGCGCTGCGTTACCCCCATTTCCCGGGTGAGGAGACGAGGCGCAGGTTACGGGCTCCCCGCCCCGCAGCCAGCAGGTGGGGAGCCTCGCCGGGAACCCCCATTTAACCTCCGCGTTGGCTCAGAGGCGCTAAAGGGGCAGGTGGGAGGCTAGTGATGTACTCAGCAGTGTGTTCTGTGACTCAGCTTGCGTTCGCCAGGTGTTAAACGTGGTCCTTAGTGACAGGAGCAACGAGGTTTCATGTAGAAGTCAGGACGGTGGGCTTCTGGGACAGTGAGGCCACAGTGGGCTGGGCGGGGCCGCTGTCCAGGCCACCCGGGGCCCCGCCGGGCTGCTGGGCCTTTTCATGCACCAGCCAGACCCCAGGAGTACATGGGGGCCACCTTGAAGGGTGTCTGTCCCATGGCAGCACCTCAGACCGTCCACACCAGGCACATGTGGGTGCAGGGACACAGGTCAAGACCCACAGGGGCAGAGGCTCAGAGCTCGTGCCGCACCCATGGGCCCTCCCACCCATGGGGCCCACGTAGCAGCTCAGCACCCGCGCACCCCTGCCCTCCACGGCTCTGTCCCCTCCCACTTTCCCATTTGCTGGCCCCCCTGCGGAAATCAGGGTCCAAGACACAGGGACCCCTTCCCTGTGGCCTCTCGGGTGCCCTCTTTCTCCTCTGCCCCCAGGATAGGGACCCTCAGCCCTCACTTCCAGCTCTGCTGGGGGCGGCAGCCACAACTGGGCCACCAGTACCCAAGCCTCAGGCTCAGGGCGTGGCAAAGCCCTAAGGGGAGAAGGAGGAGCAGAGCTGCTAGGAAGCCACCTAGAGTCACAGCCAGAGGGCCGCCCAGAGGCCCAGCGGGCGGGAGTGCAGGAGGTCACGGTGGTGGGCCCCGCCCCCCAGGGGCTGCTGGATGAGGTCTGGAGAGCTTCCTGGAGGAAGGGTCTCCTGAGCCGACTTTGTGGCGAGGGCAGGCATTGCTTGGCCGAGAGGAGGGTGCAGGGGCCCTGGTTGGGGCCCCCGACAAGGGTGGGGCTCAGTGGGTTGGGCGTTGTCCCCCAGACGGAAAGGTTTGCCTGTGGCTGGTGTGACTCCCAGACCTGCACATGCCTGGCTTGGGGGTCAGGTTCCCAGTTGGAGGTGTGCAAGAGGCAACTAACCCATGTTTTCCTCCCTCTCTCTCTCTCTCCCTCCCTTCCCCCCGCCCAAAGATAAGAGAAATCTTAGAAAAGAAGAAGAAGAAGAAGAGAGGAGAGTCAGGGACTCCCCAGACCGCAGCAGGCCTGTGCACCACGCACAACAGACCCTGCCCAGGCCAACAGGGGCGGCCTTGGCCTCTATCTACTGTGCGTCTTTTCCTCCACCCTCTTTGCAACCCCGGAGGGGCCAGGCCCAGCCCGGCCCAGGAGGCCTGCTGGTTTCTGCCCACTTCTCCTGCACACCCGCCCCAACACCCAACCTCTCTCCGGTCGCCTTCCCCTAGTCAGAGGTCTGACGGCCAAGCGGCTTCTGCAGCTCCCCCATCCCTCTGCCCGGCTGCCCCCTGAGCACACCCTGGCAGGCCTGGCACCTCCCCTGGGCAGCACGGGCAGAGGGGGCCAGCGGCTGAAGGGGAAGAATGGAGGAACAAAAGCCAGCCAGCCAGCCGGCCCTTCCTACCCACTCCCCTGCACGGCAGCCCAGGCGGCGTGGGCACTCTCTTCTCTCTCCCGCGTCCCGGAATGGGCCCCGAGCCCTGCCGGCCCCGCGACCACCGACTGCCTTCCGGCCCTGCGCCCGTGCCCCACCCCGCGCCTGCGAGGTCGGAGGCTGCACCTACCTCCGCCCTCCCCCGCAGTGGGCTCCGCTCGGCGGCTGGGCGGCAGGCGCGCGGAGAGCCGGACTGTCCCGAGGGCGGGCGGCAGGGAGGGGAGGGACCGCTTTATGGGGCGGCGGCAGGTAGGAAGGAGGCGCTGGTGAGTCAGGCCCGCCGCATTCCTGCACGCGGTGCGCACCTGTCGGGGCAGGAGCGGGGCCCGCCCCCCGGAAAAGGCTGAGGCTCCCGCGGCGGCGCCCAGCCCAGCGACCCGACCGACGGCGGCGGGGCCAGGGGAGGAGCCGCCCCCTCTCGCTCCAGTCCTGCCCCCCCCGCCCCGGGCGCCGCTCCTCCCCAGCCCTCCGGGCTCCAGCCTCCGTGGCCCGGCTGCCCTGAGCTGGGGGTGGCCTCTTAGCTCCCGCCCCCGATCGCCGTCCGCGGTTCTGCGGGCCCTGGGCTCTGAGCCTCCGCACTGCCCGAGGGCAAAGACTGCGCGCACCGCCTCCCTCCCGCCCGAGCCAGCGCGAGGGACGGGCCAAGAAAGGGCGGTTCACGGGGTCCCCTCTGGCTCCCCACCCGCCCAACCCCGACGCGCGTCCAGAGCTCGATCAGGATAAGGACCGCGTCCCTGACGAGCGACGCGACCCTTCCTACCTTGGGAATAATAAGTGTCAGAGGCCAGCACCCACCCAGCAGGGAGTGGACACTTGAATTGCTGTGGCTGCTCCTGACACGCTCGCTCACAAATCTGACCCCTCCAGTCCTTCCCCTGCAACCTCTCCAGTGCTGCTGACCAACGTGGGTTGCAGCTGGGGCGGCTCACGTTGCTCTTGGACCCCGACTCGACCTATTTCTCTGGCCCCACCTGCCGACCATGCCACTGAACACCCTGTCCTCGCTGGCGGCCCGCCTGCCCAAACCATGCAGCTTCCGGCCACCAGGGTGGTTCGAAATGATCTGTTTTGAGGTTTTTCTCCTCCGTGGGACTGTGAACCCTGAGGATGGACATTCTAGCACACCTTTTTATCCTCAGTCCCCGGCGCAGTGCCGGGCACACAGTAGGTGCTCAATAAAAGTGTGGTCGGCCTGCATGGGGTTGCTCGGTGGCCTCCCTGAGCCTCAGGGGTCTGTCTCCTCTGTAGTCGTCCCACGTCCTGCCAGCTCTCAGGGTGACCGTGGGAGCGGCTGGGACAGGGTGCGGAGGAGCTGCACGCAGGGTCACTGCAACTACAGGAGCCATGGTGGCCACTTGGCAGGGCCCGGGGGGCTGGCGCCTGGACTTGGGGGCACCGTGGAAGGAGCCCCAGTCTGGGCGAGGTCGGCAGGCCTGGGAAGTAAGCCAGACCCCAGGAAGCCTGGGAAGACAGGCCACGATGTTGCTCCGGCTTCCAGGAGCCTGGAGTTTCGTTCCCTGGAGGCTGCGTGTGGACCGGTGGGGGGTGGGGGTGGGGGTGTCCGTGACCCATCTGAGGTCGTGTGCAAAACTCTAGGTGTGTGTGATGTAGGCATGCGGGGTGCTGGGAAGAGTCTCCTTCGTTTAGCCTCTATTCCCAAACAGGTCACTGGCCCCCTATTAGGGGTTAAGAATCATTGTACTACATATTCATCTTATACAAAAATGAATCCTCACTGTCTCAGTCTGCGGCCTTAGGGCGAGGCCAGAGTGAGGCCGGCTTGTGGGGGGGGGGTCCCGGCCGGGGAGGGGAGGGGCCCCTACAGCAGGATGGAGCAGCTTGTGAGCTTCGGACCGCCGCCTCCGGCTCCCCAGCACACGGCACGTGGCTCTGGAGGGCCAGCCTTGTGCGCCCCTCACCCAGTCCCTCACGCACCGCACGAGCATTTAACGCGCTCCCGCGCCAGGGGCTGGGGAAGCCAGGGGAGGGCGAGGCACCGCCTGCTTGCGGCGGGGCAGGGAGCTGCAGAGTGGGCAGCACGCTCCTCAGGGGTGTGCCAGATGGCCCACCCCTTTCTCCTTTATTTATTTATTTTGTAAAGATTTTATTTACTTATTTGTAGAGAGAGGGGAAGGGAAGGAGAAAGAGAGGAAGAGAAACATCAATGTGTGGTTGCCTCTCATGCACCCCCAACAGGGCACCCAACCTGCAACCCAGGCATGTGCCCTGACTGGGAATCGAACCTGTGACCCTCTGGCCCACAGGCCCACGCTCAATCCACTGAGCTACACCAGCCAGGGCTCTACTTTATTTTTTAAAATCCTCACCTGAGGTTGTATTTACGGATTCCAGAGAGGAAGGAAGGAGAGAAAGAAAGGAAGGAGGGGGAGAGAGAGAGAGAGAGAGAGACAGCAATGTGGGAGAACATCCATCAGCTGCCTCCCCAGCTGGGGAGCCCTGACCAGGGATTGAACCTGCAACTCAGACATGTGCCCTGGCCGGGAATCGAACCCACGACCTTTCGGTGTACAGGCTGACACTCCAGCGGAGCCACACCAGCCAGGGCAATACTCCACAATCCCTGCACTTGACAATGTACGCCGCGTGCTGGTCGGGTGGCGCACGTTCCCGTGAGTAAACAAGTTACATGGTGGGGGATGTGGGATCGGAACAGCGTGGTGACCAGAGACCCGGTGTCCACCGCCCCGCCTAGATGTGGGGGACCGTCCCTGGGCCCCTCTCTCTCCAGGGCCAGCGGGTCGCCAGCAGACCTCTTTGGAAATGATGGCCCCCCAGCCTCTTACTTGGAATGTCTTCGAACGTGTAAGAAAGCTGAGTTGAAATACAGGTGAGGATCACCCATGTTTTCACCACCCGCAACCCAAGCAAGCGTGAACGTTTCACGCCGTCCACTTCATTCACACGCGTGTCACGTGTCTGCCTTTTCACTCGACACCGAGGCTGGGGCATTCATCTCTGCACGCTGCAGGCGTGCGCCTGGCCCGCACGCCGCCACGCCTCCGTCAGCACGCCTGTGACAACGAACCAGCGTGTCCTGCGTCTGGTCCACCCACACGAGCGTTCCCCACTTGTCCCCAAACTGTTACGTTTCCTCTCGACGTGGAGTCTGGTCCTGGTCACTGTGGCATTTCTCTCTCTCACTTGAAAGCACCCCCACCCCCTGGACACACACACACACGCTGACCTTCTAGAGGCCAGGTGGCCAGCAGAACACCCCACTGCCTGGATCCGCCTGACTGCTGCTTCCTCACAGCGTCACTGGACCGTGGACCGGCTCTGCCCGCCGGCTTCTGCTGGACGCTGCGGGTTGGGCCTGGAGTCTGGTCAGATTCGGGGAGGATGTTTTTGGGCGGGGAGCTCCCAGGCTGTGCTGAGAGCTTTACCGGGAGGCCGGGCAGCTGCCGCACCGGCGGCGATGACTGAGGAAGTGACCGCCGTCTGTCGTCGGGGTAGAAATACACTTCTCGCTTTGTGGGTAAGAAGTAATCTGGGGGGTAGGGGGTTGCTGCCTCGTCCCCCTGCCCGGGTCCCCACCCTTCCAAGGACGGGTTTGGGCATCCACTGTGGACACTGGCCTGGAGGGGTTCTGACATTGAAGAAAGGCGATTTTGCTTCTCTACATTTAATAGGTGTCCTTCCAATTTATAAAAAGAGGGGAAAAAGAGTTTCCCTTCATCCACAGGGGATGAACTCTGTGCCTTCAAAAATACAGGGGAGATGTTTCTCTTTTTTTGTTATAATTTTTAAAAAGTTATTATTACAAGCCCTGGCTGGCGTAGCTCAGTGGATTGAGTGCGGGCTGGGAACCAAAGCGTCACAGGTTCGATTCCCAGCCAGGGTACATGCCTGGGTTGCAGGCCATGACCCCCAGCAACCGCACACTGATGTTTCTCTCTCTCTCCTTTGCTCCCTCCCTTCCCTCTCTAAAAAGAAATAAAATCTTAAAAAAAAAAGTTATTACAAAAGCAACCCGAAAGATTAAAAAAAAACCATAAAAATTACCATCTTCACGTTAAAGCACCCAGTTCAACAGGGCTAAGTGTATTCACATTTTTGGGCAACAGATTCTGGAACTTTCTTGCCTTGCATGCTTTGTACTCGTGACACGGCCCCCCCGCCCCCTCCCCCAGCCCCTGGCTGACTGCTGCTCCCTTCGTCGTCTTCGTGAATCTCCCTCCGGTAGTGGAGGTACGTCACGTAAGTGGGGAGTCACACGGCGTTTGTCTTTTTGGGACTGAGCCCAGTGCCCTCCAGGCCCACTGTGCTGTAGCCCGTGTCCGGGTTTCCCTCCAAATGCCTCGTTTTGTGTGCCCGCCACCTGTCCCTGGCCCCTGGCCTGCTCCCTCCTGCTGGGTTTCGTGCTCGTGAACCATGCCACTCGAGACCCTGCTTTTCTGTGGGCCGATGGGTCACGGGGCAGTGCCAGCTCCCGCTCTCTGAGGCCTGCCAGCGTCCCCCACGGCAGTCGCAGCCTCCGCTTACTGCCGTCCCCACTGCCCACAATGACCTCCGCAGTGCCCTTGCGTTGCGGGGCAGGAGACCCCTGAAGAGACACTCTCAGGACTGTGGGGGCAGCTGCTCCTCTCCAGGGCTGCCAGGTCCCTCAGAGGAGGAGAGGGAGGGTCCTCTAGGGCCAAGTCCTGAGTGCTTGTGTGGGGACGAGTGGGACTCGGCTTTTTTACTTTGGGGGCGGCAGGTGCGGATTCACCGTAACGGCGCAGGTGCAACTTCAGGACACCTTTCTAGTCCCCGACACGCCCCATGGAAGCACCTCGGCTCTCCACAGCCCGGCCTCCTCCGTGACACGCACGCAGCCCTCCCGCCGGCGAGGGGAGGTGCCAGGGGGCAGGGAGGGCGAACTCGTTCCCTTCGGGCCAGCGGGGCTGGGAAAGCTGCCCTGGCCCCGAGGGGGGCACTGCCTGGGGCTGCTGTGGGGCGGAGATAACAGGCACAGGAAGGGTGCGGCGGCGGAGCCCTCCCCGGGGCCCGGCGCTCCCGTAAACAATAGCTGCCCCCAGCCAGGGCAGGAGGTGATTCATCCCCCTGGCTGCGCCGGGCCTGCCGGCCACGCTGGCTGGGCACCAAGCGACCAGCCCCAGCCCTTCTGGGGACTGGCGTGCAGAGCCCGGGTGTGCCCACGCCGTCAGGGAGGCCGGCGCTCCAAGGGAGCAGCGGCCTCAGCGCCTGTGGGCGAACTGGCTGGGTTTGGGGATCGGCACAGTGGACAGCAGGGACACGGGGTCTCACCCCCCTGGACAGCTGCCTGCCCACGCCAAGTGGCATGCCCTGGGCATGGCTACAGCACCTTCCTGGGCCACCTCCGGTCAACCCTGAGTAATAGTCCCAACCGATAAGTCCCAGACAGGGCCCCTGGGCTTTTACAACCGCCTGGAAA